CTAACATGCTATAACTAACCTATGTGCAACTAAAAGAAAATATCAACATCTATTCATTTCTAGCTCCTGTCTCAACTAAAGGGGTGAAGGGAAGTATGAAATAAGGTGATGGTGAGGCTCACAGGCCGTGTGGTTCCATAAAAACTGAGCCATAATCTCAGGATAACAGAATAATTCTGCTCTCATAAGCACACCCTGAATCGCCACATTAATAAATAATTATTTAATAAAATTTATTTTGCTTCAATATCATGCCTACATTTCCAACAACAATAATGAAGCAAAACAGATTGATGATATTGGAAAAAAGAAAAATGAAAAATCAATTTGAAGAAAAAATATAAGCAATGACAAGAGCCACTATGGTGAGGAAGGGTACATTATCACACCAGGAATTTGAAAAGAAGCACAATACAAACAAATGAACAAGAGATGATCATGTCCTAAAAGCTTTACAAGAAAAAATTGATAATTCTCTATTATTCAGTCCTCTGCATGAATCCTTTAACAGATTCTCTTTTATTTTGAAATCTGTATTGATTGTCCAGCAAGCACTAGACGTTCTCCTCGATTCCAGGGCTTCAACAAAACAAATGCTGCCCTCTATGAACTACTTCTACTTGGGAGTCTTCCGCGTGATCAACTTTTATTGATAGAATTCTATTGGAGTATTTGATAGGGTGTGCCTCAGGTTGGCATAGGTTTTCTCCTTCAACACCATTACACTTCAGATGCCATTTGATCTTGGCATCTCCACATCATCAGCAAGGGTTAGCCAGAAAACAATCTGCTAGAGTGTGATTTCAGTGCAGGACCAAATTATTCAGATCTTTCATCCTCCCCAAAGACTTCCTACTCATCCTGAATTCTTTTTTGTCTCCTCCCCAAGTGAAGCCACATGGTCATGATACCATGGCCTACAACCCTGAACCATGGATGGGATGCTGATCTTCACAGGCAGCACATAGTAGAGGAGGCCATGGCTGCACTCAACACACAAAGCATGGACTCTGCAAAGACAGAACTGTTTCATTTGTAATAAAAATGGGAACAAACCAAGCAGATTTCAAAGCACGGAAATCTGACAGGAACAAAAATAAAAAACAAAGTATTATATATTTTAAAATGTTAATATTGAAAGAGGAAATGAGAATTGTTTTGCCTATTCTTCTAAAACTATTCTAGTTATAAATTTCAGTGGCCTTTCATCAGAAATGGCCAGGGCAAACAATAAAAATCAGTAAGTTCACCTAGCAATTTAAAAGGACCATGAAATACCTTATATTGCCCTCAATTTTCTACTCACACTGAAATGCAACAAGCTAGACCACATTCATGATCACAAGAACCATCTCAATAAAGTTACAGCTTAAATTGCTGAAGTATTAGAAACTAACCTGGAATCAGTACTAATAAGAAAAGCAGGTTCTCCAAGTTCAATAAGTAATAAGTGTCTCCAGCAATAGGGCCTTACTGTCAGTTTTTGGAGAACAACCAATAACATTGGCAATAGCTTGTAATGTTGGGGGCTGTCTATGAGGTCCCTTTGGCTAATGACTCAACAAGATATAACCCATTTCTGCTACTGGGGCTTTAATTGGTAGTGTAAGATGTCTAATTGGGACATCGTCATCCTCATTATTTGGCAACTCCAATTAAATTCCTTTCGTGTGTGTGTGTGTGTGTGTGTGTGTGTGTACATATATATGTACTATTCAACAAAATATTATTCAACTGTTAAGAAAAAATTATGAAATCTACAGATTAGGAAGCTCTATAGTACTAGATTTCCATACAACCTTTCAAAAGCCTTTAGTGTTAGTTGTCCCTCCCATATTCCCTCCTTTACCTGCCATCCCATCCCCCTCCCAATTTAATACTCCTAATTTTCCCTTTATTTCTTTATAACACTATATTCCCCCTCCCATCCTCCTCCCTGGCCCCTTACTATCTACCTAACCTCTAGGGTTACTCATGTAGAAACACAGATATCTAAAGCTTAAAAGCCGAAGTCCACATAGAGAAAACGTACAATATTTGTATTGTGATGCAAAGAATAAAAGTAAACCCTTTGCTCTCCCTACATGTTTTCTGACTCAATTCACTTATTATTTTACGGATTTGATGTATCCTCAGGTGCTATTTGTTTTCTTTTTGCCATCTGGTGATTGGACCTGGGGCCTGCATGCTAGCCAAGTATTCTATATACCCAGCCCAAAGATGTTGTTTTTTAAAAATCCAGTGAACCGACCCAAATGCCCACCCCCAGGACCAGCTTCCATGGTACCAGATGTCCATCAACTGATGGACAAATAGTGAAGGTGTAGAACATTTACACAACAAAATAGTATTCAGCTGAACTCTGGAACCCAGTTGCAGAGAGGGAGGAGTGATGAGCAAAGGGGTCAAGACCAGGCTGGAGAAACCCACAGAAACAGCTGACCTGAACAAGGGGTTGCTCATGGACCCCAGACTGATAGCTGCAAAACCAGCATAGGACTGACCCAGAGCCCCTGAAGGAGGATGTCAGTTTGGAGGTCTGGTTAATCAATGGGGCCTCTGGTAGTGGATCAGTATTTATCCCTAGTACATGAATGGACTTTGGGAACCGATTCTACCTATAGAGGGATACTCTCTCAGCCTAGACACACCGGTGAGGATCTAGGCCCTGCTCCAAATGATATGACAGACTTTGAAGATCCCCCATGGAAGGCCTCACCCTCCCTAGGGAGCTGAAAGGGAATGGGATGGGGGTTTGTGGGGGGCAGGAGAAGAGAGGAGGGTGAGGGAACTGGGATTGACATGTAAATGAAGCTTGTTTCTAATTTAAAGAAAAGAGAAAAATGGGGTACAAATCTAAACAGAGAATTCTCAACCAAACAATCTTAAATGGCAGAAAGACACTTAAGGCAATGTTCAACATCCTTAATCATCAGGGAAATGCAAATCAAAACCATTCTGAGATTCCATCTTACACCAATCAGAATGGCTAAGATCAAAAACACCAATGACAGCTTATCTGGAGAGGATGAAGAGAAAGGGGAACACTCCTCCATTGCTGGAAGTGCAAACTTGTACAGCTGCTGTGGAAATCAGTGTGGTGATTTCTCAGAAAAGTATGAATCAACCTATCACAAGACCCTGCTATAATACCACTGTTGGGCATATACCCAGAGGAGGCACATTCAAACCACAAGGACGTTTGCTCAACTATGTTCATAGAAACATTATTCATAATAGCCAGATCTTGGAAACAACCTAGATGCCCCTCACTGAAGAATGGATGAAGAAAATGTGGTACATTTACACAATGGAGTAAGAAACAATGACATCCTAAAATTTTCAGGCAAATGGACAGAACTGGAAAAAACCATCCTGAGCGAGGTAACTCAGACCCATGAAGACAAATATAGTATGTACTGACTCATAAATGGATACCAGATATAAAGCAAAAGATACCCAGCCTACAATTCACAACCCCAGAGAAGCTAGAACCCTCTTCCAGAAACAGAGAAACAGATGCAGAAATCCCAACTAACCGTTGGGCCAAGCTTCTGGAGTACAATCGAAGTGAGGGAGAAGCAATAATATCAACCCAGGAGTCGAGACCATGATGGGAAAACCCACAGAATCAGCTGAACTGAGCTCCTGAGAGATCACTGACTCAGGTCTGACAAATGCGGAACCTGCGTAAGAATGAACTAGACTCCCTTAATAGAGGTGACAATGGTGCAGCTGGGACAATATATGAGGCCCCTGGCAGTGGGTCCAAGATCTACCTCTACTGCACAAACTGACTTAGTGGAGCCCATTCTATATGGAGAGATACCTTGCCCAGCCTACACACAGGTTTGGGGGCAGTGGAGAGGTGCTTTGCTCCTGCCTCAGCAAGATGATGGGACAGACTTAGCAGACTTCCGAGGGGAGGCCTTACCCTCTCCAAGGAGCAGATGGGAGGTGGAGGGGGAAGTGGGGAAACAAGAGGAGAGGAGGGATTGGAATGTAAAAAATAAATTAATACAAGAAAAAATTATTTTTAGATCTCAAGCCAGGTGTGACTGACTGCACATGGCTCTAATCACAAGACTCAGTAGGCTGAGGTGGGGTGAGGGGTTGCTGAAAGTCTGAAGCATCCAGGTTTACATAGTGAGTTCCAAGCCAACCCAAGCTACTTAGCAAGACCTTGTCTCGAAAAATAAATAAATAATAAACCTTATCTCTCAGACTTAGTTTAGAATAGCTTAGTGGCCAGGTACTTGCTTGGCACATGTGAGAACCTATATTTAATCCCCAGCATGGCCACAACAAAAATATTATCTCTTGGCACTTTGGAGAGGCGTGAGTAAGTTAACACTGGTAGGACACATGATACAGATTTGGGGATTAGTCAAAGAGTCCAGGTTTTGTTTTTGTTATTTTTTAAGGCTCAAAGATAAGAGAATCTGATTGTGTGTGTGCATTCGTAGTGAGAGTAAATCAAGGCCTCCTACCTCTTCTAAGAAACTGAAGCCTTCCAGAGACAGAGCTTTGTGGTTCCTGTAGAAGGACTAAGGGATGTGACAGGTCTAAGTGAAGCTTGGAAATCCATGAGCATGGCAGTCAGTGATTTGACAAACCAGAGTTCTTCTAGAACCTTCTTGCTATTTATGTTTCTAATCATATGGAGGAGTCAGGATGTTTGTGTTTGTCTTTCTTCTCTGAACAGAGATATTCCAGCCACTTGGACTTCCCTGCCATGATGGGCTGTATTCCTGAGCAGTGAGCAGGAGAAATTTTTCTCTCTTGATTTGCTTTTGTCGGGGTATTTTGTCACACACTCGGCTATTTCCAGGAAAATGGATGGAGATCATCACATTAAATGAAATAAACCAGACACATACAAATACTGCATATTTTTTTCTTATGTGGAATGTGGTTTTTTTATTTACTTATTTATTATTAATTAATTCACTATTTCCTCCTCTTTTTTGTTAGGGTTTGACAAGTGACTCCATTTCGATTGCAGCAAACTTCACAGTTCTGCAAATCAAAGACTCTCCAGGCACCAGAAAAGCACTGATACATTTGCCAGAAGACCTGTGTTTCAGACTTCCCAGGGAGGCCTATCACAGGAGTCAAGGGAAATGCAACAGGAAGCAGCTAAGGCAGCACACCTGTGCACTTGGGCAATCCCTTGGGACCTTGGGGACTCAGTTGCTATGAATGAGAACTGGTGCTGGGCTGGGCTCCACAAAGCACTGGAGAGCTGAGATATCTGTGAGGCACACCCCCAGCATAGAAGGATTTCCGCTAACCACTTGAGAGGGGAAGCAGAAAAGGGACAAATTGCAACAGCCACTACACTTCCTTCAGGCCTCACTCTTGGGACGAGGTGACCAACAGAAAGCAGCTTGATGGTGGAGGGGTGCCTTAGGAGAGGGATACCTGCCATAATCCAGGAACACCACAGAGGTAACTCCAATGCTTGCTCTCCTAACCATGGGGGAGGGGGGAGGGTGTAAATAAGGCTCCTTGATGCACACTCCCAGGAGTGCTGTGTCCCTTCTTTTGCTCCCTCCTCCCCCAAGTTTTTCCTAAGTTGTAGACAGTTTGTAGGCTTTAAAGATTAGAGTTTCTGCCGGGCGTTGGTGGTGCACGCCTTTAATCCCAGCACTCGGGAGGCAGAGGCAGGCAGATCTCTGTGAGTTCAAGGCCAGCCTGGTCTCCAGAGCGAGTGCCAGGATAGGCTCCAAAGCTACAGAGAGACGAGAAACCCCCTCTTTAAAAAAAAAAAAAAAAAAAAAAAAAAAAAAAAAAAAAAAAAACCATGTGGAGTGTTCTAGAGGCCTTTGAGATGGTGTAGAAAAGGTCTTGGCTCTGGCTCAAATTTGCCTGAGTCAGCAGTGGTTGTCAATAGATATTGGAAAGGCCAGTGTGCTGGTCCTGGGAAGGGATCCAAAAAGTTAGCACTCAGTGACCTGGCTTCTCTACTTAGTCTAGAATGCAGTGTGCTGCCACTTCTGGATTTAGGAAGAAAAACAGAAGGGCTAGAGGCCGACTGTTCTGAACTGAAAACACCATTCTGCCACCTCTACTGAACAGGGTCTGACTGAGGCTTCCTCTCACCTCTGCTCTAATGACTGAGGAGGGACAGCCAAGTTCTGTATCTCCAGGCAGTCCTTCAGCAGCACCAGAGATCAGTCAGTTGCTGGTGACTCACACTTCCTCACTTCCTGAATCTTTCAAAAGTCCAGCCTGGGTCTGAAACCCTTCGCTGAAATGACTTGCTTTGTTCTAGGGTAGATGGTCAGTGTGTCTGCATGGGTTTGTATTTCTTCAGAAAAAGAGAATAGCTGGTGTGCGGCCCCCAGCCTTTCTGCAGTTGGATTTATCAGAAGCCACCATGGGCCCCGTGAATTCGAGAGGTCACAAGGCAGAAGCCCAGGTGGTAATGATGGGCCTGGACTCTGCCGGCAAGACCACAATCCTGTACAAGCTGAAAGGGAATCCGCTGGTGGAGACCTTACCCACCGTTGGTTTCAATGTAGAGCCTCTTGAAGCTCCTGGACATGTGTCACTGATTCTCTGGGACATTGGGGGACAGACTCAGCTCAGGGCTACCTGGAAGGACTACCTGGAAGGCACTAACATCCTTGTGTATGTGCTGGACAGCACAGATGAAGCCCGCTTGCCTGAGGCAGTGGCTGAGCTCAACGAAGTCCTGGAAGACCCCAACATGGCCGGCGTCCCTTTCTTGGTACTGGCCAACAAGCAGGAGGCACCTGATGCTCTCCCATTGCTTGAAATCAGAGACAGGCTGGGCCTGGAGAGGTTCCAAGACAATTGCTGGGAGCTTCGGGCCTGCAGTGCCCTCACAGGCCAGGGGCTACAGGAAGCCCTGCAGAGCCTGCTCCATCTGCTGAGATCCTGCTGAAATGTGGTAGCCTCGGACTCCAGGCTGGAGCAGGACTGGGATCAGGGCCAGCCAGACCCCCTGAGCAGGCACAACAGCTTATCCTTGCTCCTATGAACAGGAAGGGTCAGCTGATCCTTCAGAAACTACAACCCAGTTCAACACACAAGAAATCCTTCTACTTTTGGACAGGATATTTTCCGTGGTGGCACTTATGCTGAAAATCAACTTTTTAAAAAAAATAGTAATAGCCAGAGGGAATATAAAGATCTTCCAAGTACTCATGTAACAGGTCACTACCAAGTGTGGATGCAACAGAGTTAGTAACAGTACCTGAGAACCAAGTTCGCAAATGAAAAGAAGTTTCAAAACTGTATCTGAGTGTCACCTCGACACTCAGATCACTGTCATCAGGAGCCATGCTTCCTGCTGGCTTCTGGGCACAAGCCATTGTTACTCTTCCTACAATTGTACAATAGGCTAGGCTGGCAGCTGAGAGGGGCCTTCAGCTCCCACAACGCTGCAGATATCACAGGGCCCTGGAGCTTTCCAGAATTCACCCTGCTCTCCATCTCCATCTCTGATTAACCCTTCTCTGCCCTACATCCTATGTTGTAAAAAGGATATAAAATAAAGCTCCACTGTTCTCTCCCATCTTCTTTTGTAGCATGAATCACTCATTCCTTAAAACTGAGAAGATGGGGGTGGGGGAGTTGCAGGAAGGTGGCTTAGCACTTGCTGCTGAGCCTAATGACCTGGGTTGATTCCCAGAACTCACAGGATGGAAAAAGAAAACTGATTCCTACAAATTGTCCTTTGACCTCCACACATGTGCTGTGGCACATGCCTGTGCGCATGTGTGTGCACATACACACACACACACACACACACACACACACACACACACACACACTGACAAGCATGTGTCTCCCACCCTCCAAATAAGTAAATATTTTTTTAAAATGTTTTCAATCCCATCAAGCTTGGGATGTAGCTTAGTGTCTTGAATACATGAGTTGTTTCCATCGTTATCATTTATAATATACTATCAACAACCATATCTTGTGCTCGGTTGTGTTCTTTATCAGTTATAAGCTTGTGGAGCTTTGGGCTGTCAAGATGTAATCAAGGGAAACCAGGACCTGCCAGTTTCCATGGAGGAGAGGGAACCTGACTTAGGTTTCAGCTGCAAACCATCCCTATCCTGAAGAGAGAAGTGTGTTTTCCTTTGAGTAAAGCCCATTAGCTCACAGAGGTGGTGACCTCATTTGCTAGGCGAACTCAGAGTGACAAATGGTTTTCACCAGGCTCTTTGGCTTGGGGACTGACATCATTGCCTGGAGGACAGGAAAGGCTGTGTCTTCCTGTCCACCCTTGCTAACTCTAGAGTAACTGCTTGCAGGGAGCCAGGGCCTAGCTGAATGCTTGCTCAAACTAAGCAACTGTCTTGCTCAGCAGGAGTCTTACTCTCATTATGTTTTCCCTCCAGGCAATAATGCCAGGACCTGTGAGCTTTTCCTTCCATTCACATGGGAAAGAGGGGTGCAAGGCCACAGTGTGTCCCAGGGAACAAAGGGAGGGTTTGAAGGACTCTGAAATAGGAAGATAGAGCATGTTCGGTGTGACCAGCAAGACTGCGACAAACACTGAATTTGTGACTGCCCCTGAGCTCAGCCAATGAAGTCTCTCTCGGGTTGTGAAGGCTGGCCCTGGGGTCTCTCTTTAAGGCTCATAAATGCAGAAGCACAGAGAAAATCACAACGACTTTAGGGTGTGGACAGTGTATTATTTTCACCGAATTGTCTTGAGTTTCACTCTTCTAATACGTTCACCATCAAGGAACTTGGGCTCTGCAGCAACAGAATGTGTGGTTTGAAATTCTCCCTAAAGGCTAGAAGATGCTCAGCAGTGAAGATTCTCAATGCTCTTGAAGAGGGCCCAGTGTCACTGCTCTCTGCATCCTCACTGGCAGGCTTCCAATCACCTGTAACTCCAGGTCCAGGTGACACTCTCTTCTGGCCTCTTTGGGAACCAGGCACACATATACATACATGCAGACAAACACTCATATGCATTAAAATGCATCTTTTAAAAAACAGAACAAAAGAAAAACCTCTTTTCGAGGTTTCATCCAGCAACTGGTGGGAGCAGATACAGAGACCCACAGTCAAACATTAGACAGAGCTCATGGAATCCTGCCCAAGAGGGCAAGGAAGGATTGTATGAACCAGAGGGGTCAAGGACACCACAAGAAAACCGCTGGGCTCATAGGGGCTCACAGAGACGAACAATATCACAGAGCCTATAGGGGTCTGGCCTAGGTCCTCTGCATATATGTTACAGTTGCTGGTCCTGTGGGACTCCTAACAGTGGGAGTGGAGGTGTCTCTGACTCTTGGGCTGCTCTTAAGACCATTTCCCTCCTATTGGGTGCTTCCCCCAGCCTTCAGACCAGGGAATGTGTCTCATCTTATTGCAACTTGATATGCCATGTTTGGTCAATATCCCTGGGATGCCTGCTCTTTTCTGAAGGGAAAGGAGGAGAAGTGGATCTGGAGGACAGGGAAGGTGGGGGGGAGGAACTGGGAGGAGAGGAGGGAGGGAAACTGTGGTCAGAATGTAATACGTGAGAGAAGAATAAAAAAATACAAAACTTTTAAATTCTGCCTCAGATTTCAAGCTAAGTCCTGCTAATGAACACTCACCTCTCCCAGTCCGACAGTTTGCAGGCTATTCCAGGCATGAAATTGTAAACCCAAACAAACCAGGTCTCATAGAAGCACTTTTGATTGTTCAAAGAAAAAGAGGCTTTGTGGTTATAAATGGTTTCTCATTTATTAACTTGACACCACACTGCTTCAAAAGTTTTACCCATTTTTCCTTGGGAAGCCACAAACTTCAGTTCCAGGTGCTGTGATGTTGACTTAATTGAGAGCAGGAGTGAACAACAAAGAAATAAAGTAGCAATGTTTCTGGTCTATGAGAGAATCACCACCATCATTCTTCAAATGATATAATAATACATCAAATTTTAAAAATTAAGCAAGCCTTAAAATGTAAACAAAGCATCATGAGCACACTATGCCAGCAACACAGAGATGTTTATATCTTTCTTCCGGGTCCGGATTTATTGACTAACAATACATTTGAATGAAAATGAAGACATGACCATTCCTAGGTATGGTTCGGGGGAGGTTTTTATTGTGGATAGGAGAGAAAGAACAGCCAGAGGCATCTGGAAGAGTCCAGACTGAACATGGCCAGCAGAATACGCCAAGCCATGAGAGGAGAGGGAGGTGGGAGGGAGAGGAGGAGAGGAAGAGAGGAAGAGAAGAGAGAGAAGAGAAGAGAGGGCATCAGGCCATGAGCGATCAGAAAGACTGAGGAGTGGAGCCAAGAGAGCCTGTGGCCAAAATGGCTGTTATATAGAAAAGAGAAGCTGGGGGTGGGAGGAAGGGAAGTTCAAGGGCTGGAGAGGTTTAGGGTAGGGCGTGGGGTGGGGTGGAGGCGGGTGTTTGAGAAGTCCTGAGAGGAGCCCCAGAACTCAGTAACAGGTACTTGAGATGTTGGGAGAACCTGGTGGCCAGGGTCACTCTGATATGTTAAACAGGCACCTCAGTTAGCCATTTGTCCTGGGTTTCTTTGAGTCCTAACAGAATTCACAAGCTACACTGATTTCCTTAGTTACAATTTGCCCCTGTAGTCCAGACTTCCTTACAGTTGACAAACACAGACTTTTCTTTTCTAATTTTATAGTGTTCATTTATTTGTTTGTTTGGAGTTGGGGAGTGAACCCAGGACCTTGTACTTGGTAGGCTCTACTCCTAAGCTAAACCCCAGGCCTCTTTTATTACAATTTCACTCTCAGCTCACACATCACACATGAATTATGCTCTACATGTTTATAGGTTGCAGAGTGGCTGCAAAGGGAGTCAGGGTTTCAAGAAGACTGAATTGGAGACGGGGGCAGATGAGATGAACTCTGATAGAGAGTTCCTGAAAAAGCAGAGTGAGACCACAGGGTCACAGGGTCACAGGATCGAGTGGAGCTATAGATGCAAGGTTCGTGGAGGAAGGTGTGGGTCTGGGTGAATGGGCAGATGGACAGACGCTAAGCAGTCCCGTGATGCACACAGCAAGTGGTCATGACACAGTTCCAAAAGACCATCACCATCACACTGTAGCATGCCCTCTTGGTGGGATGCTGCACCCTTGCTTGGTCCCGTGTGTTCAGTAAGTCCCTGGTTCTGGTATTTCTGATATGTCCACATGCTCCTATGGTCCTAATAGACATTGGTAAATTACAGTAGTTCTTTTATTTTAATTCCCAGGAATAAGTTACTTCTCAGCCTGTGTCTCACAGGTGGTACCTGTGCACATAGTACAATGCAGAGTCACCCTTCATCCACATTCACACTCTACACAGACCCAGATACTGTTGTAAAATGGAGTCACTTGGGGCAAAGCTCAACCTGAAAGCCACTGTTCCACACAAAATACAGTCACTTAATATAGGATGCAGCCTGGTCTTCATATAAGGTTTTTTTTTTTTTTAAATCCAGTAAAATATATAAGCTATTTTATTGCTTATTTTTAACCTGTTAGTGAATGCTAGTGTAAAAAGCTACATATCTCACTCAAAAGGGCCATGAGATGGTTTATTCTGAAGCCAAAGATAAGTGACCATGGCCCAGGGACACAGATTTAGGACACCCCAAAGTGCGTTTCCAGTGTGATAACAGTTTGGTGAAGTTTTTATAGCAACAGAAAAAAAAAAAAGAAAGTCATAAATCAAGCATGTTTCAAATATATTGGTGGGAACATCAGGAAGGTAGATCACAGCAAAGCAGGGAGAACTCTGAGGTGGATTTTAGATGCTGGCAGCATTCCTAGCCCTTTGGTTTGTGGAAACAAAGGCATCTCTCCTGGCTAGCTTTCTGTTCAACTTGACACAACCTGGAATCAACTGGGAAGAGAAACCTAAGTGAGATGTCTCCCTCAGATTGCCTGTAGGCAAGTCTGTGGGGCATTTTCTTCATTAATGACTGGTAGCCAATGACCCAGCCCACTGAGGGCAGTTCTGCCTGGGAAGGTGACCCTGAGTTGTATAAGAAAGCTGGCTGAGCAAACTTCAGAAAGCAAAACAGTAAGTGGCATTCCTTCATGGCCTCTGCTTCAGTTCCTGCCTCAGATTCTCGCCTTGGCTCAAAGGACTTGTGACCCATAATATGTAAGCCAAATAAACTCTTTCCTCCCCAAGCTGCTTTTGGTCATGGTTTTATTACAGTAACAGCAAAGTAAGGCAAGGTTTGTTTGTACATTCCAAAGGATTTATCACAGCAGGTATTTGATCATATACAGAGGAGGGCAATAAATAGCTCTTTAGGGGGCTAAAGACACCCCAGGATCATTAGGCTCTAGAATTGCAACATGCCAAGGTCTCCACATCTCTGCAGCTCTACTCAGTCCATTAGTCTTTGTAGACACAGCTTCTTTCAGAGATTCTTGTTGACAGTTCCCCCTATTGACATGGCATTGGAACCTGATGAGGCACATCGAAAGATCCAGGGAGGAAAGAGAAGTGTTAATTCCATAAAACTCAAGGTTACAAATACTTTAGTCCTATGTAAGCAGAGGGTATTTTGTTTTAAACAG